TGTAATCGGCCAATCGTGCCAATCTGTCGGCGAATGACATTGTGGCGCGCGCTCTCTACGCGTATCGGCGCGACCTATAACGACCTTAAGACAACAAATTAATCGCAAAAGTTGTGCAAAATTGTACGCACCTTAAAAGTCCACGACACTTAGTGCGACGTGACTGGACGTTGACGCTTGTAGCCAGAGACTAGGTTCAACATTTTCTTGTTTTGGATGGCGCGTACAGATCTGTACTACTCTGTACTACTCGAGTACAGCCGCCGCAGCTCGTACCTCACCCCAACACCGTGGGGCCACGCGGGCCCCAGCACTAGCGCTGCAGTGACCCCCGCCGGCACGCCGCCGCCCCGCGCCCAAGGCTGCGAGGCCAGCAGAACGCGTGTCTACCGGCGCCGGTGGCGCCTCACGGCCGGAGAGAGTATAGGCAAGACGGCGTGCACCGCCGTCTTCTCTGTCGCACCCGGTAGAGCGACGGTGTGGGCCCGGGGGCGGGCGGGGAGGCAATTATTACGCAGACTTGTGCAATGCGCCTCGTGCCGCACGCCGCGACCTCGCCACCCCAGGCCGGACCACCACCACCCCTTTCCCTCACTCACCACCCCTTTCCCTTACCACCCACCAAAACTGCTGCACCGTTTTTTTCGAGCACGCGCGTTATTTCATTCTGTGGCGGGGGCGGGCCGGGTGCACTTCACACGCAAATCGTTTTTCCCTGTCGTCGAGTGGGGCTCGTGTGTTTCCACGTGACTCTTGTGTGGCAGATTGACGTGTCGCGCTTTCGGACGCAATTGAAGATCGCGCAGACTCGGTATCTCGCACTTCGGAGCGATGAAACCCACTGCCTTTGCGAAGGATTTGGCTGCTTTTGTGTAAGCAGCCTACGCAGCAGTCCGTGTGCGACAAAGAGCATCGCCGCGCTACAACGTCCAATCGGTGCTCTGCCACCACACTGGAAAAACTTATGTTACCAAGGTAACGTTTCATCATGTGACCAATCCCGGTAACGTTTCCTGATGCAACCTGCCCCTACCCCATGCAAAAGGATAGGGCCATCGCAAATTGGTTGCATCACCAAACGTTACCTGGATTGGTTGCACCTCGGTAACATTAGTTTTTCCAGTGCACTGCTGCTCGAGTGCGCTGTGCGCCAGGACCCCTCGGAGATGCACCTGCTGCACAAAGTACTTCCTCGACCACCGCCTCTTGCGCGGTAGGGGGCGGCGGCGGCGGCCGCCTAAACCCAAACGCCGTTCGGCGAACTGTGACAGGCGTCAACAAATAATGACTGGCACTGACAGCTCCTGCAGATACGCGTAATTAGGAAAGTTCTCGTTCAAAGAAGGCGCTGCCGCCTGAGTGACACCTGGTCGCTCTCGTGCCCGCCGCGGCTCTGTGTGTCCAGGACTATTTGAATAATTGGCGTTGAGATGTTCTTCCCTTTGTCAACCGCCGCCGGGCTGGAGCCGACCTTGTCCTCGCGCGCTCTCCAATTGTCGTGGTCGCCTTGCTTGCCAAAATTTGACCTTCTTTTAGAGACTACCATTTTTTTGGCGTGTGTTGCTAGCGAAAATGTTGTCTCCTCGTAAAAGCCAGTGTTTGGCATCTTTTTAAGGCCAAATTTTGCCATTTTTTGTTCAGAGAGGACAAAATTGGACATAGTCTCTAAAGGAAAGGCAAAGTTTGGGATTCAAAAAGAAATGCAAAAAAGTTGGCAAGTAAGGTGACCATAACGTATAGAGTGCGCGGAGGTGTTGCAACGCGGGCGGTGACTTGCACCAAATGAAGGAAAAGGATCAGCATTTTGTGCATTTTTGCATCTCCGCTAGACGATAAGAACAAGGAGTACGTTATTGCGACAGGCACAGCACGTACACTGTTAATTGGGGGTGTACAGTCATTGTACGCCAAAGGCGTGTAGCACCCAAAACTGTACGCCTTTTGGCATGTAATGACTGCACGCCTTTGGCGT